CCATTTCTAAAACAACTTTAACTTTATGTCCGCTCCTTTTCTGATTTCACAGAAAAGGACTTTTGGCTCATTTTTCATTCCATAAGCCAGTTTTAATGCCTTTATTTTAACTGAATGGCTTATATAAACGCAGCGGATACTAATGTTTAAAAGAACAAAGACTACAGTGAAAGGCGTTGATAGAGAACTGGCATGAAGGTCAGTAAAACTCCTGGAATAAATCTTTGTTAATCAATCAGCGGCGTCTTTGAGCGGAGTGGTAGGGTGGGTCACTTCTCAAGTTTTACAGCCACTTTGCTGCACTTTGCACTTTAAATTAACTTCAGTCCAACAGGCTTAATGGAGACGGAGTAATTGCATGAAAATCAGCTGCGAACAATGCAGCGTAAGCATAAACTGCTTCAGATCCCAAAAGCTGCATTGATTTCCCATCAGGTCCTGCAAACTGGGAGAAGAATGCATCTGAAACAGATTGAACTGGACCCAGTGGTGAAAAAACCCGAGCAGGAGGCGATCGAGGACAGAGTTTAATTCTGGTCAATCAGGAGAACAAAATATTTCCAAAGTGCGGCGCAGGGGCCATTTGTGACCCTCAGATTGATTTTATGTGACCCCCGACTGCAGCTCAAAATTATACAAATTTGGCCTGAAGGTGGAAACTTAAATTGTAATCAGGGTAAAAAATTATTTTCTTGCAAAGTAAATATAAAGTTCAACATAAAGTATTAGTTTTTAATAACCGAGCTTTAACAAACTTAAGTCAACTTTATTCTTTCTAAAACTTGGTTAAATATAGCAAGCATTTGGAAAGAACGTACCCAAAACCTACTACTGAAAATAAATATATTCAATCGAGCCCAGAAGAATCTGAAAACTGGATGTTTTTCCTTTTAGTACAGAAAACATGCAAAATCTGGGCCATTGTAGAAATAAAAGTACATTTCTTCTAAAGTTTTGACAGTAATCAGAAATGTTCTAGAGAAAAGGAAATCTGCTAGGGAAAAACACATTTTTAGATCAGAAATTTTCTACAAAAACATGGAAATTTCTGAATTTCAAATGTTGAAAATTTCTGAGTTTTTGCCAGAAATGTACTCCTTTTTTATCCATAATGGCCCTAAAACACTGCCGTAAAAATCCTTCTCAAATTTTGGATCTGCGATAAACGGGCCATGTTACTTGCTTGATTTTAGGTTGGGGTTTTTCGTCCCACAACTACTTTTGACCCAAAAAAGTTTGGACACCCCAATGAAAGCTGCTCAGCACCCAGCAGTGTGTTATGCAATGCCTCCTAATATGATTCAGGAAAGACTAAAAACGGGATAAAGATGCCGTCAGCTGCACAGGACATGGAAATCAATATGCAGCTGAGAAAATCCCAGCAGTTTAAACCAGGATAAATGCTTTCATATTGATGGTAGAACTGATTAAGTCAAAAATCTGACCTGATTAAATATTAACTGGGCTCCTGTAAGAGCGATTGCTTCGTGTAATATTTTCAGTAACGTCCCGACGGAGGAAAACTAAACAGAACCTGCAAATGCATGAGGAGATCATAAATAGATAGCAGCTAATTTAACCTCTGCCACAGCATTTAAAATCAGATTCCCCCACAGGCCGAGCGCCGCCGCCAGGACTGACAATCACTTCATAGCTCTGACATGTGATGGAGGAAGCAGCCCAAAGAGGGATCCAAAAAAAATAAAAGCTGAATCAAAGCCTGGAGGGACACCAAGTTTAAACAAACACCCCAAACAGGAAAGTTTAAAGAGATGGTTTAGAAAATTCATCTTTACAGCCGAGACTTTAATATGGTTTTAACGCAATAATCAAGTTTTTTATGCGTTTCTGGAACAGCCATAAAGGAAAAAGCAAAAAGAAAAACAAAGAAAAATGAAAAGAAAACAAAGAGAAAAAGAAAGAAAAGGATAAAGAAAGGAAAAAAGCAAGGTTGGAAACCATTTTAAAACAGGTTAAATATAGAGCAGCGTAACAACACTAAATATAATGCTGGTCTCGTTTTTTCTTGCTCCCTCTGTGAAGTTGTAGATATGTGCAGGGACAGCTGTAGTTCCACCTAAAAATATCCCACAATCTGTTGTCAACGGTGGAAAAAACAAGTCCTGCAGGAAGCTCCCTGAGGGGGAAACCTGCCAAAAGTGCTCAGAGAAATCACAATTTAAACCCAAGAGAGGCTCGTTCAGAAACGGGCAGCCGCTTTAATCATTTCAATGTTTACATTTAAACAGTTTGGGATTTTTCCTTAAGGTCGCCAAGTTATCCACTGGTACATTAAATTATGTCGAGGCTGTGGAAATGTTTACAGCAAACACGATTGCTTTATATTCATGAGATAAAACGGTCGTCAATGTCGGCTTCATTATAAAACACTTTACAAAATGTAAAGATGTGCACCATAAGTGCAACAAAGAGGGAAACCTGCTCCTTATCTTTAAGGTTACTGTGTTTGAGGTGCATGCAAACTACAGGTGTTTTTTTTTTTATCATAAAAGGTTTCCAAGCTTCAAAAAATCAGTCCAGTAACTGGAAGAGTTTTTGTGTTTCATTTTTCTGGTAAAAATCAAGGCAGGAGTCTCTACAGTAAAGAGAAAACTAATTTAAGCCCCCCAGAAATAAGGAGTCAGCCAGTTAAAAACTTCCTGAAATCAATAAATGCAGGTTTAATTAGGTTGGACCTTCTACTAAAATAGTTTCTTTAAAACAGATTTTCAAACAATATTCAATGTTTTTTAACAACAGAGACCCAAAACAAGATAAAGGAGGATTTAGTGGTCATGTCATTTAGAAACTAAAGACTTAAAAAATGTTTATATGGACAGGGTTTGAAATATCTTTAAAAAAGTGTCGGACCTGATAAACAAGTCAGGACCAAGAATACAGCCTTGAGGAATCCCTCATGCAACTGTCGATGCAGCTACTCTGTTCAGTGAACAGGTGGAAATGCGCAGAAAACTCCAACACACACAAATATAAAAACGAAAAATGTAGCAAAACAAAATCAAATGACAAAATAAATTTTACTCCTCCTATAATTGGGCCTCTGTCTTTCTGAAACTCCATCTTCAGGAAGTCGTCACTGCTTGGATCCTCTATTCACCCTTTCACAACGTTTTTACCAGCATTGCTCAGAAGCACAGCAGGTGCTGCTGGCTAGTCTGAAGGAGCTCAGTGGGGGAGGAGCTTAGACCTGGAAGGCGGGGCTAAGTCCAACCAGGCATTTCTCACAGCTGGAAATTTCTCAAGCACTCCAAATAATGTAAAATAAAGTTGATTTTATACGACACTGTCCCTTTAAGACTTTATAGCTGCTGTTTAGGGTAACTATGTAATAAAGACAAAATACATTATTGTTTATTACATGCTAATGTAATCTGTTGATTTTTCTATGGTAGGAATGCAATAAAACAAAAACTGAGTAAAATTTTAAAAAAAAATCCGTTTTCAGCAAAGTGAGGAGGAAATAAAAACAGGTTTCTGCACATCTTTCTTTAGATAAAGGTCAGATTAATATATCAAAGTTTTAGCTTTCAGCAACCAATTTTGAGCCGCTGCTGGGAGGGAAAGCAGTCGGCTTGGCGGTTTCGCCCGGCAGGCAACAGCGGCGAACCGAGAGGAGCCGATCAATAATTCAGAGTCAATATTCTGCTGGTCTGGACCGTAGGTCCAACCGGACCGGAGGTTCTGAACAGCTGGAACATTAATATTCATCTACAGCTCGTTTAGATGTTACTGTCGTCGTTTCTGTTAAAGTTTGATCATCTGCAGCTCAGTTTGACCTGATGAAAGATCAAACCCGATTATAATCTGGGTTAAGCAATAGAAGGAAAAGGAGGATTTGGAATATCGCCATCTTCTCTCTATGATGCATTTAAAATAAGAATTTTGTTTTAGTTATACAAACCACAAACATTGTAAACATCTAATTTTTACTTAATAGTAAAACATACTTTATCACTTGATTCCTCACTAAATACGTTTTCATTGAACAGAAATTATTTTTATTCCAGTTTCCTGTTTTATTGTTAATTTCTGCAGTGAAAAATGCCTTCAGATTAAAAACATACAAAAGAGAAAAAAAAAAAATCAGGAAAAGTTTTCTAATATAAAACTGAAATGGATCAGAGTTTAGGTCGATATGGAAGTGAAAATGGCGTTTTAATATGATCAGCCTGTTTATTCCTGGTACAAAATATTTGCATGAAATACCTGACTGAGCATAAAGTAGAAAATTAGTTTTAGAAACTGCAAGTGTAAACACAGCGAGCAGAGATTATAAATCAGCATTATTTAAATAATATCCCACAGGAGAGAAAATTTCACTTATTGGCTTTTTTGGTAATTCTATTAAAATGTAAGCAAGGACAAGAAGGAGAGCGAAATTACGCAGAAAGATCAGAACATCCGTCACTGTCAGAGCAAAAACTGGAGCTGCGACTTCAAGGACTTTACAGAGGATGAGGAGGAGGAAGAGGAGGCAAAGATGCTGAAGAATGATTGGAGAAAAAAAAAGATCTACGAGTGGAACAATTTCTCATTGCGATAAAAGGAGGAAGGAAAGACGGGAGGAAGGAGAGACCATGTGCTGCAGTCTGAATCGAGCTGCTCATGTCGTCTGTAAGGTACAGTGGAGGCTCTGTGATGCTGTGGGCCTAAGTCTGAAGGGATCCTGGCTGTGGCCAGATCGGCTTTCTGAGCCAGAAGCAGCTCCATGTTTTTAGTTACACTTACTATGAAATTAAAATGAAAAAACATGACTACTTAAAATACTTCAGTTGTAAAAAAAAAAACTTTCCATTTCAGAAAATATTTATTGATTTTGTTTCATCAGATCCTTTTACTAGAGGCCTAAATTTCTTAGTGATCAGGGCCAGAAAGATTATTCCAAGGACCGCAAATAGGCCCGAGTGCCATTTGTTTAGCCACGCCTGCTCCGGTTGAACTTTGATTTAACCAGTTTGCAGAAAGACGTCAGCACTCACCAGGAACACCCTGTAGGCGTCCTTCCTGGTGACGGAGCCCCAGCAGGCGTCGGTGTCGTTGTACTTCACACTGCCGGCGCTGCAGGAGTGATTCCCGCTGCGCAAGAACAAAAACACAAAACAAACCTTTTCTTAATTTCTATTTATTCAATAATTCAGAAACAAAATGGGGTTTGAACTGAAAATGGTACTAAAATGCAATTAATTTCAGACTCTGCAGTTAATTACAAATTTTAATCTAGTCCCAACTAGATTAGCTGAGGCAGTTAAAGTAAAATGGAAAGTCAGTTTGATATTTCTTTAGTCTCTCTTGTGGTAATAACATTTATGTGGTCAAAGATTGCTGAAGTTATGCTTTGCATACATGAAAAAGGACCAGAGTGAGGACATGCAGTACCACGCCTCACCTCAGGAGGCGCCGTGTCTCACATTGAATGAAGTAATGTGTTGAATCTGAGTGAAGTTGCCGCCTCACTTTCTTCAAATGTAACAAATTTGATGTCAAACGTTGTGCTGCGTTTGTGCAGCCATCATTTAAAGATTTTAATGTTTCCAGAGGTCATGAAAGGTCAACCAGCCCCCCTCCTCCTCCAGATAAAATTGGAGTCAACAAACTCGACTATTTTTCGTTTGTGCTGCTTTAGCTCTGAAGATGCTAATGAAAGTTTAAATGTCAAAAGGTTGAAAAAGGATAGTTGCAAAAATAAGGTCAGCCAAAGAAAACACTGACATTTTAAAAAAATCAAATATAAAACTTTGCATTAAATATTTTCATTTTTCTTGCCGTTATATTGTTGAACTGAATGGGATTGGTTAAGGCATAATTAAAAGCTTTAATCCGCTGAGGTCAAAACTGAGATATGAGCTTCTGTATTGGATTTTGGATATTTGTCCCTTAACTAAATAAAATATCTTCTTTTCAGTTTTGCAATAAACTCCTTTCTGGAGGCTGCAGAGGGGAGGAGGCCTGCGGGCGTCTGCAAACGAAGCTTTATTGTTTCATCCTCAGAGGTCAGGAGGTCACGCCAAGAGGAAACAAACGAGTGGGAGTCTCACCAGGCGACCTCCATGAGCGAAATGGGCACGGCGGCAGCGTAGATGGCCAGGTCGCCGTACAGGTAGACAATGATGCAGATGTAGAACATGTTGACTCCGACTGAAACAGAGAGGATGAAGATGCGATTCATTAAGAAACACGAGATCAAGAGGCGACAAACAAACACATTCTTCATTCGCGGCAGCCGTCCAAACACGCCGCCATGATTGATGGCTGACTGTCAAACGTCTGCATCAATTTTAGAGCGGCGTCCCTCCATCTGAGGCAGCCTCTAGGTGCCAGGCACATCTTTTGTGTTTAATGAGGAATATTAATGGATTAATTATTACCCTAATCACTCAATAAGAGCAAAAACGTCCATCAGCTTTAATTTCTCTGTTCTCTCCCACAATGATCGACAAATTTCACCAGTAGAAACATCCAAAACGTGCTGCACATCCATCATCCTCTGCACCATAAACGAGGGGTCAGATAATTCATTTTTGCCCAAGACATGAGTAGGGCCCATTAAAAAAATAAAGCTGGACAGATTTCCATCTTCTGACCACAAATTCTTAGAAAGCCCAGAGAGTTCAGCTAATGATTAAATCAAGTTCAAATAGAGATTTAAAACTAAATGAACAATTTAGTTCTTAAAACCAATTTCAGAGGATATGAGGTTGGAGAAACTTCTAGACCTTCTCAAACCGTGTCCGAGGGAGCCCCCTACTGGTCTAGGAGGTACTGCATGTCAACGACCGTTTGTTGTGACGTCAGGTCAAGGTGCGACGCTACAGCTAGCTTATCTAATTATAGTGTTTAAAAATAATGGATAAGTGGCTTAAAACTGGGTCACTCAAGAAAAAAAAGATACCGCTTGAAAGGAAACCACGCCAGGATTATATGATCAGACCAGCAGGGAATACTGAAGTGTCGTTTATTAGCGACTTGATTCTTTTGAACGAGTCTTTGCTGTGAACGAGTCTCGGTGAGAACTGTCCCGTTTACAACTTTGCTTTCTAATGTGCATAGTGCACGTAAACAGCTGTTATTTTTAATTTAAAAATTATTTAATCGGCATATAAATACAATAGATAAATATAAGTGATGTAAATGGATCGCACTCTAAACTTAGTTTTGTTATTTTGAAATGTAAAAACGCACATTTTCAAAAAAAAAGTTTAACAGTTTGATTGTCTCAAACCAAACATCTCCAACAATTCCAGGTTTTATATTCAGGATGGTAAAGAAATTATTACATCCTTTTAGAAATGTTAACTATAAATATTTATCAAGCTGAAGTTCTCAGATGCTTGTTTGGTTAACCTGCAGCCAAACAAACCAGATATAATTATTTTAATTCACATTTAACTGGATACATAACAGTTAAATCAGACAAACTCAAACAGATAAATACAGGTCACAGTTTCCATTAGAGTTTAACAAAAACTGTTTCACTCATGACTGAACTCAGGCCCGTTTGTGTTTATAGTCAGACTATAAAGTTTTATTTATCTGTAAATAAAAACCTATTTGTATTTTATTTATCCATATTTTGTCATGCTGACACTTTGCACACGTGTTTCGCACACAAACTTTAGCGTAAAAATGTAGCTGGAGATGCCATTTAGAAAATTAAGTTGAAATGTGAACTTCTGGAAGATTTAAGCTTCTTTTCCTTAGCGCTGGATCAACATGAACACATTACAGGAAGTCCTGTTCTCTGCTCCGCCCGTCAGTAAGCGATGGTGTGACCGCGGGGGACGCAGACTTTCACAAGACTGTAACCAATATCACCCAATTACCCAGAGCCACAGGCAAAAACGCAGCGAAATGAGTCTTCATGTAGCGGCGCGGCGCTTCATGCAGCTGTGGGAATCATTAGCATCCATCAGCACATTACCTCTGACCGGACTGACAGCGGACATGACGGCCTGTCGGTTCGGGGAGAAAAACGCCAAGGCTACATTTGGTCAAACACAGCAGAGACGGACTGAGCTGAGAAAACATCCAACTGCAAAACTAATGAAGGTAATTTACAGATAACAGACTTACTGATTCCACACCCAAAAGTTCGACAGATCCGGTTTGATTGGGGATCAGAGTTACGATATTTTTTGTATTTTCCACTGCTGTGCTTCGCTTTCACACTACACTGCGTCAAACCAACTTAATGTGATTTAACGCAATCTAATTTTTAAAAACAAAAAGAGAAAAATTAACAGAAAATAAAACCGAAAGGTTTGTATCAAGTGAAACCCTGGAGGACGAGCTGCTGCATCCAAAGTGCACAAAGGAGCATTTACAGCAGATCCTTCCTGTTAAGACTTTAAACTGCTCCCAACAAACCATAAACATTTACAGCCCTGCTGTTATCCGACAGCTTTTCCAGTTCCAGTCCGTTTTTATACAAAAATGTACATTTTAGTCAGTTTTTTCTAATTACTGTATTCATATATTAATTCTTTCTGCTGCACATTTATACTGTTGCAGAGTTTTTATTGTAGTTTTTAAATTGTCATTTTGTTCATTTTTAAATTAAACTCCGTTTCTTTTGGACTGGAGTACACCGTTTTCCTAATGACTACATTATGTTGTAATTTTGCCCCAACTATACAGTATTTTTACCGTTTTATTTTCCATTTTTCTGTGAATCTACTTTGCCCGTTGAACAGAAATGTTCTTATTGTGGGACATTCATTTGCAAATTTTTTGAACTACAGTATTTTTCTTTATGCTGTAAATAAGTTTACTGTTCAGTCTTCAAATCTTATTTTCCTGTTTTTACATTTTTATTTACAAGTTAAGGGACAATGGGGGACATTTTTATTCAACTAAAATACTCCCATCATTAAGCTGAAGCCATATTTGTTTTGCGTCTCTTTAAGTCACAAATTAAGCCTTCATCAAGCGGACGTCTTTCCTGGAAATGCACTCTGAATATTGATCAGTTTCACTGCAACAAGTCTTTACACAACACTGAAATTAAATGACACCAGGAACAATTGCAGGAAAAAACTGATGTAAACTGTAAATGACCATTTATCTTCCAAACCGCCTGGATATTCATCTCCTCACAACAATGACATTTAATCCAAAACCACTTAAATACAATAGATGTGTTCGTGTTTGACTCCAATTACAGACAGAAGCCCGTTTTACTGCAGATTGAATTAGTATTCGTCACCACGGTCCTGCATATGTCGGGGAGGGGCGGCTTACGTTGGAGAAACAATCGTGATGTTTGCACAGCCAACGCGTCATATCACAGGTAAAGAACAGCAGAGACAAGATGCTGACGCAAGGACAGCCCCTCTCTTTGTGACTTTCCCAAAGTCGCCTTCTAATCAACTTTCAAATCATTGATGTGAAGGTTAAAGCAGCTGCTGCTACAGTGCTGCAGATAAGCTGGGCCCCCCATCAACATTCCTGTCAGTGGCTGCAGGTCGGGCTGATACAAAATCCATGGACTTATTCCAACAGAACCGCCGCCGCTGCCGTCACGTCAATTTCTACCCAAGAGGAAGTCAAACGTCCTCCAAGCGTCGCTCTGCAGCAGCAGGGGAAAGCTTTTTAATTGGCTGTAAAGGTGTAGGACTGATAGGCAGAACAGAGTGGAGAGGTGGTGTTGCACTCGTTTAATGTTGTAGAAATGCAACCTGGCGTAATGAACTTGCTTCCATTCATTCTGCTTAATTACCTCAGTGAAGAATCTATATCTTCCTGTGATAACAGTTTCAGCTACAACACTTTGTGCAGGTACACCTGCTCGATTGCTCATTAACAGTTGAGGGAATCAGCCAATCACCTTGCAGAAACTTGAAGCATGTTGAAGTTCAAAGTGAGCATCAAAAAAAAAGAATTTAAATCACCAAGACATTTAAGCACCACAGCCTCCCTCTGAGTTTCCCCAATACAGAAAAACAAAACGTTAAAGTATTTTTGGTCTCGTTTTTAGTGCAAATATCTTAGTACTCTTGAAATCAGACAACTTACAAGTAACTTTTCAGCAAGATACAAGAGCTTGTTTTGAGTCAATTTCTTAATATTGACAAAAAAGTATTGGTTCATTGGCAGATTATTTAGCTTATAGGAAGACATTTTTCCCATATTATAAGTGAAGTAATCTGTACTCTAAATCAGCACCTATATCTTGCTGAAAAGTTACTTGTGTTAGTTTTGCCTTATTTCAAGTTTTGGACTAGAAACCAGACCAAAAATACTGGTAAGATTTAGTATATTTGAGGTCTGGCGGGCCACCAGGCTGAACGGCGTTTGTTTATTTTTAAGTGATTGCGAAGATGAGTTAAGCCAAGTTTACGTATTAGAAAACATCAGTAATCTGTAGTACAATGATGGTTTTAGCGCCAATCAATCTCATGTACTCACTTCTAAATATGCCAATGGTGGAGAAACAACTTACCATTACAGAAAAACAAGTTATCCGCCGTCCCCACTAGCTATGCTAACTAGCCTTAGCATTCATGAAATGCTATGCTAGCTGCAGCATAGCAGAAAGCAAGGAGAAGTGATTGACAGCGCTAGTGGTTGTTGAAGGCAAAGGGTTTTTTTTATTTTACAAATCATCCCATCAACATGGTGACGGTTTCAACAAATGAGAAAACGGATTCTTATACTGCAGCTTTTAGTGGTTAAATCTGCCAAATTCTTTTTATCCAATTAATCAAAATAATTAGCTTCAACCCTCTTATTTTCCACTGTTTTGCAGAAAAAGGCAACCAGTGCCACCACAAGATCAACCAAATCTGTCAGGAAAATCAAAACAAAAATCCACAGCTTGTGCTTGGATCATGAATTCAAGGCAGTCAGTCAAACATGAAGTAGCTTCTTCATTTTCTCCGGTCAGCATGTGCCTGTATAATTCATTTCTGATTACAGTCAGCTTTCCCATCATGTCAAAGGAGAGACGCTGGGAGAAAAGTCATTTCTTCATCACCAATCGATACCTCCACGTGTTACTCTCACATCTCGGAGTGAAAAGCCAGCAAGGAGCTTCTCTGTATCATTTTCTGCAGCTCCTCAAAGCCGAGTGACAAGCCAGCGGCTGCAGCTTCAACAGCACGACTTGCTTGATGGCATGCAAGAGTGCAGTCATGTGTGTGTGACTGCGTGTGTGGCAAGTGCTCCCCCTGCTGGTGAACAGCTGCAGGACACAACATCCCAGCACAGATGACGTTGTCAGAGCTTTGACCTTTTGCTGTTCTTTTATTCCTGCAACAACAGGGACCCTGCAGACTCAAGTCGCACGCGTAAAGCTGATTAAGGCGAGCAGACGAGGGAGCAGGAGGGCGCTGTGCATGCTAACAGAGCCGGGCGACGCACCGATAACACGGAGTTGCAGGGATCTCCATCTGCGTGCTTCAAGGTGATTCTGACTCCAGCCTGCATCACCAGTAGTTCCACAATCATGTAGGCATTTACCAGAGTCCAGGTAAAACCAAGACAATACTCACACACTGCAAAAACAAAATCTCACCAAGTATTTTTAGTCTAGTTTCTAGTGTAGATATTTTAGTATTTTCAAAATAAGACACCTATAATTAAGACATAGGAGCTTGCTTTAAGATAATTCCTTAATTTTAATGAAAAAGTTCCAATTCCTTTGGAAGATTTCACATGCAACACTGGAAAAAATGTCTTATGTCAGTAAAAATAATCTCCCAAAGGAAGAAGTACTTTTGTAGATTGAAAAGTCAAAAACTTAAATTTTCTAGAAAAAATTCAAAAGATTTAACATTTGAAAATCAGAATTTTCTAAGTATCTGGTAGAAACTTTTTGATATTCATCTAAAATTTTTTTTTTAGCAAATTTCACTTGCTTTTCTAGAAAATTTCTGATTGCTCTCCAACGTTTGGAAGAATTCATTTTTTTCCTTACGCCTCTAATACGATATGTAGATTTTGCATATTTGCTGTACTAAAAGACAGACATTTAGTTTATGTTGGACTTGACTGAATAAATTTATTTTCAGGAATAACAGGATTTATTGGGTTATTTTTTGTTTCAAAAATATTTTGGGAAGTTTTAGAAAGAATAAATTTGAAAGAATGATTTGGTTGCAGCAAAGTTGGCTTTTCAGTAAAAGTCTTTGGATAAAGTTGGTTTTACCTTTTGCTAAAACTTTGTTATAAAAACACATTTACGAGGGCCACAAATGGCCCCCGGGCCGCACTTTGGACACCCCTGCCCTACTGTATCAAATCGAGAGGAATGATAGAAAGTCGGCCATATAGAGGTAAAAAACAAACAGCCATGCCCCCCAACGCCGCCCACACGCTCAGCACTGATGGGCTCAAAGGTAATTAGAACCAAAGGCAATTTATTCATATGTAATTACAGCCAATTAAACCGCCAGCAGCCTTCCTTTATAAATGAGCGCCGCTCATAAAAGGTGCAAGGAAAAAAAAAAATCTTTGATGAACGATCCCACGCAGTCTTCCGACTCGTCCATAAATAATAGACGTGGCTAATGATGGCGTCTCCGGCTGATTGAATATCAAGGAGAGAGAGAGAAGAAGATTACCTTTGTTGAAGAACATGGAGGCCATTTGACCCATCTCGACCCGCTCCACGATGTCGAAGTGATCGTGACCCGACCTCTCTGTGGAAACAGATTGACAGAAACAGATCAGCAGCTTTCTCTACTATTCAGTTCTTCAGGATGTTGCAATGTTGTTTTTCTGTAACATGATGCATTTTTCCAAAACATTGCAATTTTAAGCTTTATTTTTACCAGTCTTACAAAAATGGTTACTAACAAAAAGTAAATAAAATTACAAAGTCACAAAATTTCAAGAATACAGTCAAAATAGGTACAAGAATAAAATCATAAGTCATAATATTTAGAGAATACAGTCATGAGAATAAAGTCAGAATAACACTGGGTTGTAGTTCAGCACATATGGCAGTAAAACCAGCTGCACCAACATGCTGGAGCTCAGCTTGGGTTGCTAGGTAACGGGTCACGTTCCAGTTAGGTTGCTAGGCAACGCCCTAGTGCACCCGGAATGGGCCTCAGTCGGGACAGTTGAAACGGCTCATTTACCAAACACTAAAAAACTTCCGACTTCTTGCCAAAAAAGCCTGAGTTGTTTTTTTAAGCACTGCTGTTTTTAGAAACACTAGAAACTCAAACGGAAGAACAAAATGTGTTCCCCTTTATAATGCATCCACAATGTGACAGTTAAAGACGTCGGAGTAATCATTTCTCACATCCTCTTCCTGTCGCTGTGGATCCTAGCAAATAGAAATAATTTTGGTGACTGACCTGAAACAGGAGACGTTTCGTCTCATCTTAAATTCATACAGCGAGAAGAAAAATGTAGATCTAAACTCCTGGTTTGAAAAAATTATGGATCGTAGCTTAATTATTTATATAAGTGAAATTAAACATAACTAGAAGTTTGTTTTCATCAATAATTGAGTTTTTTTAATCAATATGTTAATTTATCTCCCAATAAAACAGTGGTGCCCAACTTTTTGCCATTATGGCAAAAGGTTCTAAATAATTGTGAATTCACTCCATTCTTGAATCATCCAGCGGGCTGCAAATGGCCCCTGAGCCACACTTTGGACATCCCTGCATGAAAACGATACTCACGGACAGACAGGATGGGCTTCGTTTCCGGTTCCGACCGACCTCGACCCGAATCGTCATCCGAATAGTCGGACGTGGAGTCGCTGTCGTCCGTCTGTGGAGAATAAAAAGTTTTATTCTGCTTTCCTAATTTCACAACACCAACAGTCAGATTACAAGCTATTAACTCGCCGTTTATTTCACACACTGGCGCAAACATCTGGAAATTACAGGCAGCAGCTGCGAAGTGCTGCGCAGGCGCTCTCCAAACCACAGCGTCTCTGCAGATTAACGCCAATTAGCCGTCAATGAAAATTTGTGAGCATCATGAGCCGAATTAAAGCAGAGCAGATGAAGACCGACGGCAGATAACAGGAAACGGCAGGCAGAGCAACGCACGCACAGAGAAAAGTCAAACTCCAGTTTTCAGGAGGGAAAAGTCCAACACCAGTCACCAACTGAGAAACCAGTGATCATTAAAATCATCAATACGCATTGAATTTATTGGTCAGCGTTTTATTCATTATGGTGGAAAAGCAAAGCTAAACAGGTGGGGGTTTTGAGTCTGGATTTAAAGGAACTGTTTCAGCCGTTTTCCAGTTTTCTGGAAGTTTGTTCCAGATCTGAAAAAGAATCAAAAGTTCTGATATTGAAATTAATGGTGGAACTTTATTAAAATATTTTAATCAAGTTAATCACATGGTCTATAATTAATGGGAAACCTAACAGAATAAGGAAGATTTTCAGTTAATACAGAAAAATTAAATCTTTAAGTTTTCAAACAAAAGCATTCATTTTCCCCATTTGTTCCAAGAAACCTGAAAAAGGAAATGTTTGCATCATTTCCCCCTTACATTTGGTAAAACAGATGATTTTATATCATTTCATTGTTTTTAACCAACTCCTAAGCAGTCTTAATCACATGGTTGTATTTGGTAAAATATTAAACTTATTACGATATTATGGGACTTACATATTTTAATCAAGAAATTGCAGAGTCTAATTGGAAAGAGCAAAATTTTCAATTGAAAAATCTGTTTTGCTGCTAAATTATTGAATAAATGAACATATGAGCTCAACGACGGATATTATTTTTCTCTATAAAGCTGCTCTCTAATAAGGGAAACAGCCGAGTTGTCATTTTTCCTGAGTCTCTGTCCACTCCAAGCTGCTGCTCCGTTTCCCTGAGGTCATCTCGCCCAACTCCCTTCAGGTTTCAGCTCAGGAGTTACGACCCTGCAGACGAAAAGCTGGGGTCGCAGCGAGCCTCAACCGCTCGGCCTTTGATTCATCGCCGCGCCGCTCCCCAGCATTTTCCTCCCACATAATGGAAAACAGAGGAGTAAAACTGGGAATGTTTGCTGCTCAACGCCCTTTATTTCTCTCTGCTCGAGTGAAGCCCATTATCTTCACTGGGCACTTTATTCTTTTACAGTCGAGGAATTGCTTTTACCTTTTATTAGGCTGGAACATTGGTTAGAGGGCTTTAGGAGTTGTTCGCATGATTTAAATGGACAGTTAGAAATGTTTTAAAGGAGACAAAACTGTTGTAAAAGTTGCAAAGACAAGATGTTTGTTTTCTTGAACTGGAGCAGCTTAAATCATCTCGACTGGTGAAGTCACACCAGTTCAGTTTGCTTTAATTAAACTCTTTGGTTTGTACAGAAAGTCCAGTTCAGTGGGGAGATCTGGATAATCCAACTCTGGTCGCCTGTAAACCTCAGCATACGTTCGGTTGAACAGCTCAGATGTCAACGGCAGTTACTGGTCCATAAACTGTTCCAGATATAACTGCAATAAACTAAAATCGTTTTGAGCCAATTTTAATCTAATTGATAATGGCATTAAAATGCAAGTTTGCTCAAAGATCAATAGACACATTTTAAAAAAATAAAATTGATTATAAAGTCTCCACAAACAAAATCTCCCCTCAAAAAATATCAGTTATCAAGCTCGTCTTACTGAGCTTGATAGCTGATATCAAGCTTAGTAAGAGCTTTTACTTCAAAAGCAGGAAGTAAACTACAACCCAGAGCATTCTGGGTAAATACAACCAAAACGCGCTAGGCTAATGCTAGCAGAAGAAATCCTCCAACCACAAAACTTGTTTGCATTTTGTGAAGAAAGTTGCGCTCAGTTCTTCAGAGGTTTCCATGTTGTTTTCTTCAGTGGTCCTTGGTGCAGCGCCCCCACAGGCCAGGAGGGGAACAGGTTTTCAAAGGGTTTGATTTATTTGAACCACAACAGCTGAAAATTTTTACAAATTATCCATTTCTGATCCACAATCAAACCAAATCTCCAAACATAACCCTAAAAAAGCCGCAGATTGCAATTGGTCCAGATTCAGATCAAAATCCAGACTTAGAATCATCAACTGCGTTTTGAATATGCTTCTTTTCTGATTCATCACATCGCCGAGTTTGTCATCATACCTCTTCCTGCTCTCTTCTCTTCCAACGCAGCTGAGCATTGGCCGCCGCCATCGCCTCAATCACAAAAGTGGTTGTCATATAGCTGAAGGATAGAAGGAAAGAAACAGATTTTTAAAAAACTGCATTTCAAACCGATTCAGGGAATGACTCAAGACTTTTGCACAAAATTTCAGAGATTACAAAGTTCCCCAAAATGATCTAAACCTTAAATTAAAAATAGTATTAAAATGACCAATTGTTTCTCATACATCTCTGCATAAACATCATAAAACTGCCATTTCTTTGATCTAAATCAATGTTTGTCATTTTTCTGACTGAATCACGTTTATTTTCAAGCCTGTTTATTCTGAAGACGCCTTCTTGGTTCACTAGAGAAAAGAAGCATGAATGACTCTGCATCTGCTGCATCATTAAAGCCAGAATAATCTGCTCTGCAGGGAGCAGAAAAGCAATAATGTTTGGAGAAAAGAGGGAAAAAAAAAACATGTTGGAGCAGTAGAGGTGGAAATGAGAGTTTAACTCCCAGCAGACTCACCTCATGAATGCTAAAAAGACGATGAGCGACAAGCTGACCACCCAACCGGCTGCGGCGAAGGCTTTGGGCATGGTCAGGGCTCCTGTTCCCACAATCAGGTTGAACATGTACACCAGCCCCACCTGCAGGCCAAACAAGGCAAGACAGCCATTAATCCACAGAGACTGAACTGCAGCTTTAATTCATCGACAAAACGCTTTAAAATTAAAACATTTAATTTGAAGACATTTATTCTGGGGTGAAAATATCTAACAAAATTAGTACCTCTTCTAGTTAATTGTCTCATGTTACAAGGTTGGATATTTAAACATATTGCAAAAAAAAAAATCTTAAAGTATTTGTCTAGTTTCTAGTCCAAATATCTTAGTACACTTGAAATAAGAGAAAACTTGCATGTAACTTTTCAGAAAGAAAGAGCTCAAATCCCTAATGTTGAGAAAGTTTTAGATTCACAAATTTTACTCGAAATGTGGGAAAAATTACTTGTTAAAAGTGAAAATCTGCCAGTGGGACAATCAATATTAAGCAATTACTGACTCAAAACAAGTTGATAGATCTTTCTAAAAAGTTACTTTTTGTTTTGTGTACTTATATTTGGACTAGAAACTAAACCAGATATTTGGTAAAGTTTTGTGTTTTTGCAGTGCTCTGAAACCCTGCAGGTTCTGTTGAACCCGTTTCAGAGTTAACGATGCCATGCAGTCTATCAAGGTTTTTGCATTTATTTCAACTTTGACATTAGGTCAACTCAAAGGAATTATTGAGAAAAGCCAGTTTTTAAAGATTTTCTGCAATTTGTATTTTTTTAAAGCAAAAAAGATTAAAATCAGAAACCACAACTGGTATTAAAAAACTTTAAATATACTTCTAACTATTTGTGATGATGGTTCCGTTACAAAAAATAACCAAAACTCTAAAATTAAAGGGTGAATCTTTCAATGAAAGATGAAGCTGCCACAATAAAATATGAACTTATTGAGTGCATTTTGCTTCATTAAGACCCATTATGACTGAAGACATCTCTTCTGAAGAAAACTGGACGATCCTATAACAGGTTGCTTAATAATTCAAAGGTTTCGCTTCCTAGAGAAACCATCCGAGCCTCTGAAGTCACGCTGATGTAAGCAAAACCAGAGAACAACAGAGTGAGCTGTCAAACATGAGTGCAGACCACAGAAGCATGGTGCATGCCGATAAAAAAAAAAAAAAGAAGAGGATGTGCTTGTCATGTGCATTTTGGTAAATTATTAACAGCTTTTTAATGAGGAGCCGTCTCCAGAAGAAAAAGATTAGCATGTGTTTCAACAGAGCATTTACAAGTAGGTGAATAAATCTGCTAAGATTAATCTTTACATTTCAGACAGACATTTCTTTGTATAAATCTTAGCGATACTCACAAATGGAGAGTAGGGCTCTCCGGTTTCTGTGATTCCACCTGCCATGTTAGATGACTGCAATCCTCACCTGCAGAGGTGAAAATGTTGCATTAAAACAAATCAATATTGAAATAGTCAACTAATTTAGTAATCAACTGTTAAATGAAGCATACAGACTCAGAATAATTTGTTAAAGTAATCAGAGCAGCTATTACGTCAAAACTGTGCAAAAAAATATACATATTTTCAATTTAAGATGAAAATTCTTTTGTCTGTAAACGTTTTATTCAAAACTCCTCAAGTGAAAGTTTTACCTTCACCTGGTTCAAATCAAGTTAAACTATAAAGCACATTTTGCTGTCCAATCATCAAAACCACACATTAGTAGGCAGCATTTTGTTTACCTGACGATGCAACATTCACTACAAATAAGCATAGACTAAATTGCAACAATTTTGTATTTTAAGCAACAAGATGTTTGTTTTCTTATTTAAAAAAGGAACTGAGCCGTTTGCCCATTTCATTTCTAATATTTTGGAAAAAAAACATCTAAAGTGGTGAAATAAAAAAAAAAATCTGCAGAACGTGGCAAACTTTGATTAACTGACAAAATAATTGATTACTTAAATCATTAAACATTTTCTGCTCTGCCAGCAGGTGATCAAACTGGAATCTATTAAAGTAGAGAGATTTGTGATTAGATGATGGTCAGGTCTGAATTTATTGTTGATTTCCTCTAATTATACAAACCCTCCCTGTAGTCAGATTGTGGTACCTGAATGTTTGTCCGGTCCCTTCAGTAAAGTATGCAGAGTTAATTTAAACTAGTCGGTTTCCTGCACTGACTCAGCTTTAAGCACGGTGACGAAATTTAACAAGTTTCAGCTTAATATTCTGTTTTCAAACCAGTTTGGATGCCATCATTGTCCTGCTGCAGAAACAGTTTCAACTTGGTTGTAATTAGTATAAAAATATGATAACCCATAAACGGATCAGCTAAAACTGTCCAGCTGCTATAACTTTATTACACTTGAATGTCAAATAAAATGTAATTTTCAGTTTTTTTCCCCTTTACTTTGCTGTACTTTTCTGTTTATGTGGCCAACATGGCCGGATTTCCAAGGATGTGGTCAGAAAATGCATTTTACCAATCCAAATTACAGTTCATTAATAAGTAGACCTATACATCATTGAGCATGCATAGATTTAATACATCTCCAGGGAAATGTCTCCATTTTGTTGCCAAATATATATATGTTAATATGAAAAAGTTTGGGCACCCCTATTAATCTTAATTACTTTTATCTCTAAATATTTGGATGTTTGCAGCAGCTATTTCAGTTTGATACAACCAATAACTTATGGACACAGTAATATTTCAGCATTGAAGGTTTATTGGACTGAAAAATAATGTGCAGTACACATTAAAACAAAATGTGACTGGTGCAAAAGTATGGGCACCTCAACAGAAAAGTGACATTAATATTTAGTAGATCCTCCTTTTGCAAACAGCGTCTAGCTGCTTCCTGTAGCTTTTAATGAGTTCCTGGACCCAATGAAGGCATTTCTGACCATTCCTCTTAATTCCAGTTCAGTTAAGTGTGATGGTCGCCGAGCATGGACAGCCCCTTCAAATCATCCCACAGATGCTCAATGATCTTCAGGTCTGGACTGGGATGGCCATCCAGAACATTGTAATTGTTCCTCTGCATGAATGTCTGAGTAGATGTGGAGCGGCGTTTTGGATCATTGTCTTGCCGAAATATCCATCCCCAGCATAACTTCAACTGTGTAACTGATTCTTGATTATTCTCAAGAATCTGCTGATACTGAGTGGAATCCATGCGACCCTCCACTTTAACAAGATTCCCAGTGCCGGTACTGGCCACGCAGCCCAAAGCATCATGGAACCTCCACCAAATGTTACAGTGGGTAGCAAGGGTTTTTCTTGGAATGCTGCGTTTTGCCGCCATGCATAAGGCCTTTTTTATGACCAAACAACCCAATCTTTGTTTCATCAGTTCTCTGCACCTTATTCCAAAATGAAGCTGGCTCGTCCAAATGTGCTTTTGCAGACCTCAAGCGGCTGTGGCATGCTTGCAGAAAAGGCTTCTGTCGCATCGCTCTCACATACAGCTTCTCCTTGTGCAAAGTGCGCTGAATTGTTGAACAGTGAAACCATCTGCAGCAAGATGATGCTGCAGGTCTTTGGAGGTGGTCTGTGGGTTGTCCTGGACTGTTCTCACCATTCTTCTTCTCTGCCTCTGATATTGTTCTTGGCCTGTCACTTCTGGGCTTAACCAGAACTGTCCCAGTGGTCTTCCATTTCCTTACTGTGCTCCTCACAGTGGAAACTCACAGCTGAAATCTCAGACAACTTTTTCTATCCTTCCCCTAAACAACTATGTTGAACAATCTTTGTTTGCAGATCATTTCGGAGCCGTTTTGAGGTACCTATGATGCCACTCTTCAGAGGAGATACCTTTTGTCATGATTGGCTACGAAGCTCAAATCTTAATGAAGTTACCAAACCAATTTTGTGTTTCAGTAAGTCAGTGAAAAGTACTTTAGGGTATTTAAATCAATAAAATAAGGGTACCCAAAGTTTTGCACCTGTCAAATTTAAATTTAAAGGAACCTTGCACATTTTCTGTTAGACCAATAAACCTCATTTTAATACTGAAATATTACTGTGTCCATCAGCTATTAGAGACAGCTGTTGCAAACACCCAAATATTTAGAAGATGAAAAAAGGATGCCTAAACTTTTTTATACGACTGTAACAATGTCTAATTGTTTACATTCACAAAAAATCCCAAAATAGATACAACTCACCTGATATGCCCCAATGAGTTTTATACATAGTACAATGTTTGCAAAACACGCAGATAAAAATAAAGATCAGCTGTGGCCCAGCGTGAAACTCTTAAGGTTCATTTAGTTGTCTTGAAAGAGGAACAAACTAATTTATTTGGATGTTTTACTTCCGTTTCACAATTAAACTACTATATAAAATTTATAGAAATATAAATTATTTTATGCGTTTACAGTAATTTCTACGGACATTCCTCTGGAAAAGCCTGTTTTAACTATCAGATTTTGATGCTGCTAGTATCAAAGCGAATAACGAAATGGTATAACCCTCACAGCTCTTATAATTTAAATTTCATTAATTACATCATTTTCCAATACAACATGATTTGTTTAAGGTTATTCTGCAGGTGTCTTCACTGGTGTCAACAGAGACAGAAAGTAAACACACTCACCTCCAGTCTTCTAGCTGATTTAGCTGCTATGCTAGCAGGATGCTCCGAGCGGTAACTTCTTGCCAGCTAACCCAATAAACGGGCCCAAAGAGCGACAGCCAACATGAGCCGCTCCGCTTTCAAACTGAGGGGGGAAACGCCGAAAAGAAGCACAGATAAAAGCACATCCTGACGGACTGATAAGGCTGTGAGACTGAGCCCAGCTGAGCACCTATCACAGCAATCAGCTGACCCACTTCCGCATGACAGCAACTTCCGGCGAGCATTTCCAAAATAAAAGCTACTCAACGTACTCACTAGTCACCAGCTTGCAACAATCACAGGTGTCAAACTCCAGTCCTGGAGGGCCGTTTCCCTGCAACTTTTAGATGTGCCTCTGCTGCACCACCTGAACAGAATAATTAGGTCATTAGCAAGGCTCTGGAGAGCTGATCTACACAAGGAGGAGGTAATGAAGCCATTTCATTCCAGCGTTTGGTACCTGTGGCACATCTAAAAACTGCAGGACAGCAGAGGACTGGAGTTTGACACCCCTGAATGTTTTAAATTATTACTTTTAATTCACTGCTTATTTTCTTTAAAAAACAAAAAAACAATTTATACATTTTGATAAGTTTCTACTTTACAGAAATTTTAAAGAACCACCATAAATTTCTAGTTTATGTTTTAAAATAAAGAAAACATGAAATAAATTTAGATTACAGGTGTTTTTAGTATCATTCTGTGGATATTCAACTATTGTAAAAACTAAAAAAAACTGCTAAATCGACATTTGTTATTAGATGTTTATTTCAAAACATTTGTAGTTTTAACTTTCCATGCATGCAAACCATTAGGATACTGGGATTTCACAAATTAAAACACAGTAAGAATAATCCGTCCTATTAGAGTTTCTGAAATCATTTAAGTCAGTGGTGTCCAAAGTGAAGAGCGTGGGCCATTTGTGGCCTTTGTAGTGCTTTTCTGCAGCCCCAAACTGATGTTTAATAATGATAATTATTTGGCTTGAACTGGGGTCTGAGCTGAAATTATGCGTTTGGTTTTCTGCAAATATTGAGGTTCATTCAGATGCAACTCTGCATAGTAAAGTTCTGCTTCTATTCTCAGAGGAAGGAAACCATCACCGTCTTTCTTCAGTCTTCATCTGATGGTTGTGTCCTAAACTTCAACATGCTACATGCTAGCTGCTTTTTTATCATTTCTTCTAGCAATAACATGATCTGATTTTGGAGGGAATTGACCGCTGTCCTAATATTTTTTATTTCTAAATAATCTTTCTTTCTAATTTGATTAGCAGCGCCTGATTTTTAAAGCTTGAACTGTCAATACAGTTTTGAAAGGTTTTGTCCCAGGGTTATTGGATTGTAATGATTTCAGTGAAACCTGCACATATTAGTTTTCAGTCAGACCTCTATCTAAACTATATGTAAGGATTGTTTAAATTAAAAAGCCGCAGGTGTTTTGTTCCTGCTGACCGGCTGCAGCTGAACAAAGAAAACATTTGGTTGGTCAAACATCCAGAACACACAACTAAAGGAGATTATGTTCCACCACTAAATCCATGTATTGATTTTATATTTGCACTTTTTATTGAGGTGTGCTCATAAACAGCTGGATAGTTTGTAAAGAATCCCTCAGACTGAGGCGAAAGCAAACGGTCATGGCAGCTCTGACTCTGACTCTTCTTGTTTTAGCCGGTGAGCTTCTACAGCGTAAACTTTTATATTTAATCATGTTTTAAAGCTTGCTAACTTGGAAAATATTTCTGGTTTGTTTCAGGTGTTTCCTGCAGCCAGGCTTCAGATTGCTCCTACTCTTCTCTGTTGAATCACCTCAACCTGGATGCGACAAATAGCGCTCTTCAGATTGAACGTCCTGTGAAAAACTGGAACACAACCACAGAGGTTCAGCTGGAAATGATTCTGGGCGGCATTTTAGACGTGGTAAGTCTTCATCATCTGTCTGTCTTATGCTATTATTTAAACATTTTTTCTTATTTTTAGCTTGGTGGTTTATCAGGATGGGAATAAAATACATTTACTTTTTTAAAATGTCTGTTTACTGAGGTTAATTTAATTTGAAAACTGGTGTTAAATATGAATCTACCATGCAGTACAATAACGATATTGCAACAGTGTTTTTGCCATGATAGTCAAAGTTGTTAAGCTGAAAGGATTCGGGGCCACAAAAATAAATGAACTTACATGTAAGTTCATTTATTTCACATTCACATTTCTCCCTTGTTGCAACAAGGGAGAAATGTGTTGTTATAAGTTAAACAACCTGTCAATCAAACCAGTATACTTTATCATCAATATTAAGTAATTATTCACTTAAACAAGCCTCTATATCTTGCTAAAAAGTTACTTGTAAGTCAGGTTTGTCTTATTTCAAGTTTGCTAAGACATTTGCACTAGAA